ATACCTGATGGTGATTTAATATTGTCAAAGGCATTAGTTAGCTCTAGGTATCAAAACGGACTATACAGAAATTCATTAGTTTCACAAATCGAAGGTCTAAGATAGTTATCCTTACGTAAGCCTGTGCCGATATAATCAATCCCAATTCTCATGTCTTGAAATGTCACTCAATTAAAATATGAAATGTTAGATCTACTAAATTTATTTTGGAAATATTTTAGTCTGCCCCAGATTTACGATATATCTCTATTTCCATTAAGCTCACTACAAAACTTGTTGGAATTCGTAGATTTCTCTTCTTGAAGAGTGAAACTAGAATTTGCTGTCCTTTTTATTTCTATGAAGTTTTGTTTGTTAAAGCAGTTACGAAGGACAACAAGAGTTTGTTTTCTATCTTATATGGCTTGTTTGCGGTTTTTATTCCACCATGGATAAGGATTGCGATTTGGGCTTTGTGGTGTAAAGAAGTGTTCTCTGCACTTGGTGTGGAGGAAATAATAGCTTCATAAATAATTTCAGTTAATATTTCATATCTGTGAATTACATTAGAATTCAAAAATTCCAGACCATTAAAAGCATACTTGCCATCAAAATCCTATTAAATATCTTCCAGCTAGACTTTAAATTATATTTAAAAGTCTTAATAGGTGATTTCTCACAATCCAATTCCAGGTTAATGATAATACTCCGCACTTGTTAATGATGATACTCCTACACTTCCGCAGTTGTCATCATTTTCTGTCCATGAAGAGTAGAAAGCAAGATGACATAGATGACGTTCCATATGAACTTGACAAGTATACTTTGGTTTTAATTTTTGGCGCGTGAGGGCTTACTTTCACGATGGAATATCTCACGGCATTTCGCGTCTTTCGCGGTCGTGCCGCTAGATATCGCATGATCGCGTCCGTGTCGAGCAGTGCTGGCGATCACGGGACATCTAGCGACACGACCAAGAAAGACGCGAAATGCCGTGATGTATTCCAAACAGGCTCTCACGCGCCAAGAAATAAAAGCCCAAGTATAGTATGTAGGAGAACTGTCATGAAGTAGAAACCAGTGAGCTCTGTATACAACAATCTATGTAAGACTCAAATCTCCATACAGTATTCTGGAAAGTTATTGTTTCGTCACTTAAATACTATTATGTTATTTTTACAACTGTGACAACATATTCTATTATAAATTTGAAGCATATAATAAAAAAATAAGTGAACAATATTATATTAATCATACATTATTTGTAACTCCCCGTCACATACAAGAATCCTGTATGCAGCATTTGATTGAGTCTTCCTTGGACGTAGTCATCATTCAGGAAAATTATTGAAAGCAGTTGAATTGTGCTCAAATAAATGAGCTCGTTTGTCGATCGGACTCGCAAAGCAGGAAAGGTCAAATGGAAAATCGCCGCTTCAGTGAAAAAATTCGTTAGAAAACACATCGATTTCTAAAAAACGATTTTCTTAAATACAAAGATATTAGTATACACATGTTTGAAATCGACTTTTTATGCCCGTTTCAATATCCAAACATTTAACATAGGGATGTGAGTTCCGTGATAAGGCGAATGCTGGGATTGTAATATATCCGCACGTTTTTTAGAGCCCCGGAATATCTACTCCCACTCCTTTCCCAACATTAGTGGATTAAGAATAAATGATAGTAACGAGTGTTGTAGACAAAATGTGGTAACGAGAAATGTTCGCTCCCGTATATTAGAAACAATTTTGAATGGGAAAATGAACTACAAATTTGATGTAAAATTCCCTTTGTCAAAATAACTAAACTCTCCACTCCTCTCGCATCTAGCGAAGCGAGGGCCAAGAAAACGTGCGCGGATAATAACAAAATACCAAGAATACCACACTACCCCCACCTAACACCTGCTTCTATCATCCTTATCCACAAGAATATTTCCAGATATTTTCAAAAATTGAGTCACTTTTTAAAAAAGGGAGCAAAAATGAAATTAAAAAATACCGACCAATTTCTCTTTTGTCAGGTTTCTCTAAAATATTAGAGAGACTTTTCTCTACGCCTATTTCCTAGTGAGGGAAAGGCACTTCTTTGCATGTGTTGAGAGTAATATAAGGCTATTGAATACATATAATGTTAGCTTGGGAAGAGGACATACTTCTCCCCTGGATTTGCTAATGAATATTGTTGACTTTAAACCAGAAAGAAACCGATTACCAACGACTAAAATAAAATCTACAAAAATTATCATGAAGATTACAATATTGTAGATCTAATTACTATACTACTACATCATTTTATCATCTACATTCTACTATATATACTACTATATCGTTACCGTTCCAAAAGATGTTCGACACGAGGTTTATTTCCGAAACTTTTTCTAACGAAATCCTGAGTATATTCAGTAAATTAATAGATAAATATTCCTCTGGTTTAGATGAATTTTCGTATTGTTTATTGAAAATTTGTGTACCTGCCTTCATACACCCGCTAACTCACATTTTCAATGCTTCTTTATGCACAGGCATATTTCCAGATATTTTCAAAACTGCAAAAAATAAGCCTCTTTTTAAAAAGGGAACAAAAATGAAATTCAAAATTACCGGCCAATTTCTCTTTCGTCAGTTTTTTAAAAATATTAGAGAGGCTTTTCTATACCCGAATAGAAACTTTTCTCAGGAAAACCGAAGCGTTTTCAGACTCGCAACGTGGTTTTAGAAAATCAAAATCTACGCAAACTGCCATTTTTTCTTTTCTTAAAGATGTTGCTTCATCAATGGACCAAAATGAAGCACCCATTGGAATATTTTTAGATCCTTTATATTTCGAAAGTTTTAACGTTTTGACCATAGCATCATGCTATCAAAATTACCTTTCTTATGGGAATTCGTGGTATCGCCATAGATTGGATAACTTCGTACCTTAAATCGATCTCAAAGAGTAGAAATACCGTACTGGCACGAAAGGACATATTTACATAGTCTATTTAATTATTTACCGATTGAATATGGTGTCCCGCAAGGCTCGATCTTAGGTTCTATCCTCTTCTGTTATACGTAAACGGAATGCCTCGTTCATTAAAAACGGAAGAATGGTTCTGTTTGCCGATGACACGAATGTTCTTTCCAAAAAAGAAACAATAAATAGTACGATTTTAGAAGTTTCAAATAGGTTTTATAATGCCCAATTAATAGTTAATGAAAGAAAAACAGTTTCAATGCAATTTTGCCTTTCAAATCAGCAATCGCTCCATTGAAAATGAATAATTTGCAATTAGTTGATGTTCAGGTAACAAAATTTTTAGGTCTGTCAATTGAGTCAAACTTCAAATGGAATGTACATATCACAAAAATTAAACACTAAAGTAAGTTCATTATGTTATGCATTTTAAATCCTATCAAATTCTGGCAGCCTGCATGCAGCTCGTTGCGTGTATTTTGCAAATGAACATTTCCGCCTGACATATGGCATAATATTCTGGGGAAACTCATCATGTAGTACTCAGACCTTTAGATTGCAAAAGAAAATTATTCGAATAATGAAAAATGCCATGCGCGTTACTCTTTCAAGCCTTTCTTCATTGAGCTTGGAAACTTACCACTGCCTTGTCTATATATTTACGAATCTGTAATATTTGTCAAAAGTGACTTACTTAATGGCAGGAACATATTCATGCAATACTAATATTTATAATTACAACACACGTCGTTCATCAAGTGACAGTATCAACAGCTCACTATCAGAAATCCACATACAATACATCTTGTACGTTACTTTACAACACAATGCCAGATGACATTAAACAATTGAAGTCGGTTCACAAATTTAAGTTAAAAGTAAAATATTTTCTGCTGCATAACTGTTTCTATGCAATTAGAGGCTATACTGATTATAAAAAAGAAAAATAATGTTTATTTTAACAAAACAGTGATTTATAATGAATTAGTTTGTACTTGTATAAGTTTTTAAAGACTTAATATGCTTGTAACAAATAATGTACTTCAGCTTCCGGGTCAATGACCCCCGTCCCGATCAGGTTTTTGTCCAATTTCCCTGATCCATTGAGCAAATGCTGAGTTGGCTCCTTGTTTTGCTTCTGGACGTAAATGTAGCTTCACTATACGCACGTTTTGTTGAACTCTCCTTTTGCTTGTAATGGTAAGATCAGAGGTATGGGCGAGGTGCTATTTTGTTAGCAATGCAGAAAAATCATACTTTAAATTCGTGTACCGATACAAATAAGTTTCCTATAACTCAGACGCGAAAATTACTATTTTTCAAATATTGCTAATCTTGCGATTTTTAAAATTTATTTATGTTAAACTTTTACTTATCTTTCAACTATTTATAGTTAAAATGACAGTAAGAGATTCTGGAACTCAAGAAAACGTGCGCAGATAATCGCTGGAAGCCCGGGTTCGAAGTCGGGACGAACTAATTTGCCTTCCAGTGTTTAACTCAGCAAAAATCATGGCGATATGTTTTACGCAGAAATCGAATCTAAATCCCACATGTTAACACATGTGCCAGTGCAGACTATAGATAATATCTCGCCCAGCTGGGCGCTCCTTGTGTGAGCTAGTAATTTCCCACCCTGTTTTGGCGCTCCATGGTGTTTGAAATGGATTTTGGAGCCAAAATATGAATTTTGCGCGTCCCACCGCGTGGTGGGCAGCGGAGAAACATTTTCGAAACGAAGCGAGATGAGCTGACTTGCTGTCATTGTGGCGTGGCGTGGCGCGAGGATGGTCTAGGACTCAATCTTGGTGGACAATAGCCACTCATCTGCCCGTCAGTGTGGTGGATTGAGATAGCTGTGTAAGGCGAAGTGCTGCTCAGAAATTACTAAAAATTGCACATTCTTTGTAAATGTTTCTACACCTCGACTAACAATGTGCCGAGTGATTAGAGTTTTGTAGAAGTAAGTTAAAATTAATTTGCCATGTGTTACGTTGGAGGTTGTTAATTATTCTTTGTAATGTGTAAAAAGATATGTTAAATTAAGTTTTAAATGGTTATCACAATATAATTCTATTTATTTGTTGTTCAGTTCCTTATTTTAAATTATGGACAACCACAATGATAAGAGCAAAAATGTCTTCACATAATAATTTTATTCACTACGACGTTTCGGAGACTGTTTTGTCTGCCTCATCAGGTACAACTGAAAATTTAATTACAAAATTTTGCATGATGTCAAAATTAACAAATAAATTTACACTGTACCCAGTTAAAACAAAGTGCGCCTGTTATAACAGAAAACTAAAATATACAAAAACTATATACAATATTTACAAATTATAGAGAAACATATCTGAATATTAGAATAAGTAGTAGAGTACTGTCCAGAGTGCCATTTTACAGTTGAACATTTAAATTGAGTCCTTGGTAGTGGAGGAATAACAGAAATTAGGAGATAGTTGAAGGTGCATTCAAAAAGGTTTGATCCTAATGTTAAAAAAAGGACGGTGTTATTGTCGAAAAATATTTATCATGTCATGAATTTTTGGAAACTGATTGGATTTTATAAATGTATTCATAGTATTTTGTGTTTTTATATATGTTTCTAGTATTAATCTTTTATTCCTGATGGGTTTTACTGCTAAAATAGGAAACTGATCAAAATGTATTGAATAATTTAGATTAATTCAATGTTGGGATATTGAATTTTGTTTATTTGTAACCTCATTGCTATTTTTTCTATGTTCTGTTATTCTCTGTTTGATTCTTCTCTTTGTTTGGCCAATATCATTCAACTGACAGTCATTGCATTGAAGTGCATATACTGTATCTATCATGTTTAGGTATTTTTTTCATTTCTTATGAGATTATTTTTCTTCATTATTGTACTTTGATTTTAAGAGTTGTAATGACATGGTCAGTGTTTTTATGTAAAAAATGCAAAATGCTTCATGCAAAATTTTATAATTAAATTTTCAGTTGTACCTGAAAATGGAAGCAGGTCCAAAAAAGCCAAAAGCCAAAAAAAAAAAAAAAGAAATGTAAAAAATGTAACTTACATTTATGCTTCTCTAAAGAAACAATGTTTAAAAGCATTCCACTCAAAATAAATTCAATAAAATTTATTCTTTATACACAAGAGCATAAACATTTTTTAATAAAACTAATTTTAGTGTTGATAGATCCATGTATATTAATTTTCAAAATTTCCTTTTTTTTTCTTCTACTGAGTGCTTCGAGTCACCACTGCTCTCGCGGAGGACAAGTATCATTGGTGCACAAGTTAAGTACACAATATGGAAACAATCAGTTAAAAAATCAATTTATAACTGACCTGAAAATCAGAATTTTTCAGTAACGTTTTCATAATGTGTGTGTGAAAAGGTTAATATGGCATTTTCTGATTATCATCTAGACAAAGTTGTATGTGAAGTTTTACTTTAAATAGTTACAGATTTGTTACATACTGAAGGGGATCTTATACAAAGAAGGTAATACCTCTATGAATAAAAATTAAAAGTTTGACTGTAATTATCATTTACCTCATAATTGATTGAACAATATTTTTGTTGGACCAAATAATATACCTATAGGGTTTACTAATTTCTTTACCCAAAAGAAACTTTATAATTATATTTACTTTTTATAACACATTAAGATTAGAAAAGCTCAAGCTTCAATAAAATTGTATGTTTAATTGTAAATATTTTTTACAAAATGCTTTGGTAAACTATACCTCCATCCAGCATGTAACTGAGCACTAAGCAGTTTCACTATATTTATCATTTCTTTATTATCAACCATATTCATGTTTTCATGTGGATCCAGTTTATGATTATATAACTCAGCACCAATCTTATTTGCCCACCGAGGAATAAAATTATGGTTATCAAATAATACCCATTCAGTGTATCGATACTGCCAAGTTCGTAAAGAATAACCCATAACCTTAATATCTCTTAAGTGTGGTTTATCACTGTTTGGATGCATTGTTGGAAAAATACCAGGTCGAGGATACTGACTGAAGGCTGCCTTTTTCCAATCCATATTCAGTGTTGCATTATTTGTCTAAAAAAAACAAAAAAACAACAACAACAAAAAGTCAACCCTTTAGTGTTGGGGTCATGAATGGCTAATCAAACTTAGCAAAAGAACAAAAATCACCTTTTTCTGCATGTTTTGTATGACAGGAAAAAGACTAATTCCTTCTGTGCACAATTTAATTTTCTGTGAGTTTTCAGGACATAGAGGCAATGATTGAGATAAATTAGTTAATTCCACTAAGGTAGGGAATATGTCCACTAATTCTGTAAGAACATGCGTATATTTATATAAATGGCTGGTTTTAAAATCTGTCTGCCCTGGTACATACAAAAGGAGAGGAACTCTCAAAGCAATTTCAAAATTGCTAAATTTGGCCCACTCTCCATGTTCTGCCATTGACCAACCTGAAACAGAAGTCTTAAAAATGACATGATTGTCTCTATCATTTAACTCATCATACATAAATCATATACTTACCATGATCTCCTATTAAGACTATAATGGTATTATCAAAGTATCCATTTTCTCTCACAGCATTCAAAAGATGACCTATTAAGTCATCAACATAACTCACAGCAGCAAAATAACTTTGTTTGATTTTTCGAGCAAAAGAATCTAAAATTGTAACAAAATATTTCTCTTGAAATAAATTTCTAAATTATATTAATTTTTTATTGTTCTAATTGGTATTACATAATAAGTGTAAAACACTGTAAAATTGGGTTAAAATTATTTTAGCCACACAAAACTGCCCTACCTGGCATGGGGCCAAATGGAAACGATACATTAAGAGCAGCTACATCCTCTCTTTTGCGCACGTCTGTCCATGGATTCCAAGCAACAGTTGGTAAGAGAGATGGATACAATCGTGCTTTTGGAAGTTCAACAGATTCCAATGGATGAAGGTCTGAAAGACATTAACATGGTTCTTATATGCTTCTGGTTTCAAATTTGATTTTTTTACTGTTTAATATGGCACTTTTTACTCACTAATATATTGTTTTGGGAATTTTAATGGCACATGAGGCTTGTGGAACCCAACAGCAAGGAAAAATGGGTTTTTGGATGAATTTCTTACATTATGTAAGAAATCAACAGCAGCTGTGAGGGTCTCAATATCAGGAAGAGTTCCTCCAGGTTGGAACTCCACCTCCACAGGACAAACAATTTTTCGATGTAATTTTCCATCTAGTCCTCGACACACTGCAGCATTCATGTATTTTTGTGAAGGTGGATGAAATGGTTCTGCAGACCAACTGTATGGTTGGTCATCACTCCAATTGGATGAAATACCTATTTAATAGAAGCAAAATAATTACCTCTAAACGCAGTTTAAATCCTTTACTGAAATTCAAAATGATTACGACATGGATTATTCAGTACCTGGGTGAAATACTTTACCAAATGAACTTGTGTAATAACCATGTTCTTTGAAATATTCCGGTAGAGTTGTAAAATTTCCCGTAAAATCACGCCAATAATTGTTAAAGTCGTATAAATGCAGCGTATCTGGGCGTCTACTGGTCAGAAAAGAGTTTCTGCTAGGAGCGCAAAGGGCTTGCTAAAAGTTGATACACTTATAAAACACAAATATACAAACACAAATCTATTATGACGGGACACATGCATTTGTTTCATACCTGGGCATAAGCATTTCTAAACACAATGCTATGCTCTGCCAGAGCATCTATGTTCGGTGTGTGCGCACTTTTTTCGCCGTAACATCCTAGCGCGGGGCGTAAATCATCAACAACGATAAATAAAACATTTTGGGGACGCTTCGAAGCAATCTGGCTAATGAGAACATTTAAAATACTGATGAAAAATCCTATTTTCATATCTGCCCAGAAAGCTCACGCTCAGAGAGCATTTGAAGGCGATCAGCTGAATCCCGCGAGCTGCCCGCGACTCGAACATGAAGCATGATGCAAGGTGGAAAACGCAGTGATCTCTTACATCGTGATGTACGGATGCGGTTGTGCTGTGGCGCAGCCTCAATAAAGATGTTCATAACTAGTGACTTCTGGAGCTTCTGAGGGCATAGGCCAGAGAGTATATAGGCTATGCTGTAGGCAAAACACCATTGCCTCTGGGTGGCAAGCAGTGCTAGATTACCGCATAAGCATACAAAGCAATTGCTTAGGGGCCCCGTCAAATTGGGATCACTTCGAATGACAAGATTTATTGATATTTGTTAACATTTAAAAAATAGCATTATTATCTTTCTAATATATATATATATATATATATATATATATATATATATATATATATATATATATATATATATATTCCAATCTTTCAAACTTTGAGGGATTAAATTTTTCTATCTGAAAGTACGATTATTCAAACCAACCTGCCCTTTGTTTAAGTTCATTATTGGCTTATGGCGCTGTTATCGGTATTCTCCGAATTTCATGTTAAAACTTGTCGAAACAATAACATAAACATCAATATCGAAGGTGTTATAGAGCTGAAAGTCGCTGTGTCTGTTTTCATTATAGAGTACTTCAGTACATACAAATCATGCCTTATTCATTTGACTATTTGTCTCACTTCATATATTTCAATTGTAGTAGATGTTTTGCTTGCTCTTCGAATAGAACCATACCAAAAGAAGCAGACCAAAGGCCCGCAAAATTAACACAAGTCCTGCTTGTAGAACTTCTCATTTCTGTAGTGAAGTCTCCAAATATTAACTAAATACAGCATACAGAAAATTTTAACTTTTATCATGAACATTGTTTCAAAATATTTTCACACTATTCTATCACTTTAACAATATATTTTTCCGTGAACATTTTTCTTTGTTGGAATGACAATACAATGATGGTCAGGGCTACCGAACTACGTGTTAATTCTCGTGACTATCGTTCGTGCTGCGCTCGAACGGGCGGAATCCCAATTAAACTAAGTGGTGGTGGTGGGAAGGAACCGTACCATGGTGGGGGTAATATTTCCACCAATTAGATGCACAGTATTTTTTTTTTTGTACATTCCTTTTAGCGTAATTTACAATTAATTCTAGGATTCAGTAGGAAATGTAGGATATACTGGCATAGAAATGACTCAGGATAACAAACGACTCAATAATGAAATGAAATGACAGATTTCCAAAAATTAAATCGGAAAAACAATGGTTAATTTTCTAGAAGAGTTATACAAATTCTCCAAGTAATACAATTTGATAAATATTAATTTTGAAAATAATAGTAAAACATCACAAATTCACAACAATCACGTAGTTACTTCAATAAATCAACATAATATCTATTATGAAAATACTTGATCTCAAAGTGCCTCTGGAAAGAAATCTATTTCATCAATCAATATTGAAGTAATTACAAATCCACTTGCTATTACGAACTACTGAGGAGAATGAAAACTGCTTCATATCAAAAAATTATAGTATTTATATTCCAATTATGTTTAACTATTGTGCTTCCAAGCATTGCAAAGATATTACTTATGAAATTGCAATAAAATAACTAGTTGAACAGGACAATATTGATTTCCAAAAATTAATAATATATCATTTAATTACTATCATCTGACTAACTTTACTGTCGATGACATTACAAGCAAGCAAAAAGAAAGCTCTTTATTTCACTGCTTAGCAATAGCAATTAATGTTACATATTAAGCCATGGTTTCAATACTAATCTTTGAAATTCTTCTTTAATAAGAGTGCTTCAGAAAACATTTTAATGGAAAAGCAATGTAAAACAAACAATTCTTTAAATGAATTAAAAGTTTAATACACTGTACAAATTTGAAAAATGAATAATCTTTTCATATGCACCATTATTTTAGAATGTCAGAAGCTTGGTTGTATTACACAAAGTGCAATAGATTAATATCTAAAACGATAAGAGTTTGGAATGAAAGTACCTTTTTAGTTTCGTACATTAGTCTATTCTTCCTTTTCACATATATTTTCCAAATTATTTTACACAAAATTATCGTATTAATTTATTTGATTATTTAAATGTCTAAGATTGAATGATGGTTGCACTAATAATTTCCAATTTTCATTGTTTATTGAATTGAAGTCCAAGAAACTAATAATGATATTTAAGTAAGTTTTGAAAACATTTTTTATCTACTGTGTTCCTCTCTTCATTATTCCAACATTCCATTTCCTAGCAAATCTCAAAGAGAATGCCAAGTTGTAATGCTTCCAGACAGTAAGTTGGAGCTTGAAGTAATTGTGTTTATCATTAAATGCTAGTAATACAATATATTAATAAATATAATTAAATGGCAGCAAGTAATTAAATTATTAACAAAAGTAAATTAATTGAGGTTATTACTGTAAGTGATATGCTCTCATTGTTTTAGGCATTCTACCAAAGGGATGAAAAATAACATCCATTTTATGTTGCAGTGGTTTTTAAAAGTGGCAACTAAGCCATAGAATGCAACGCTTATATCCAGGGCTTTGTGGCTACCACTTCCCATATCGGAACAATAACGTAAAAGAACAAAACAAATGAAACTAACGCACCAGACAAATTTTAAAACAACAATAAATTGTTTCTGAAGGGGGAAATTTGCCAAGTTCGTCAGAAAATACATTAAAAATTATCCTGGCTCCTTTAAAAATGTATTTTTCAATAGAAGCATTCGCAACCAAGCAGACGCTTACGAGGGGTGAGATCCTTTACACGAGTTGCACCAATGGATTTAAGAAATCCACCACTTTGTAAGCGAGACTGAGAGCTTGGGGTTGATGGCTCTGTCTGAGGATCATGCACTTGCCATTTCTCAGATAGCGTTGTGACTTCAGGCGAGGGAGAAGTGGCCCATTTCCCTGATGTACTGGATGCTACAATATTTTCCTCACCTTCCGAGACAGGCACAGGTGGATCAGCAAGAGCTGTTGCACAGTAAGAATAAAAATTAATTTTCATTTTTTTTAAATATACAAAACATATATCTCACTTCAAATAAGGTTACCTGATATTTGTGGGACTGATGTAATGAATTCCATTGCTGTAGCCAATCTTGCAGAATCTCCTATAAAGTAAATCAACATTTTAACATTACCTCAGTGAAAGAATTCAAACCAAATGTTGATGTGGTTCAAAAGCACGAATATGATTGGCAGCGATTTTGAGTACATCCAAAAGACTACAATTTTTTCATTTCTTAACCTGTGATTATCTGTATTTTTAAAAGGTTAAATGAAAATATACTCACGTAAACACGGAACTGCACCATATCGCAGTCTCCTTTTGGGGGCAACAGCAATGAAATCCTCAGCCCTGAAATGCGCACTGCATATACGCCCGTCACGGATCCTTTCGCCATCTGGGATCCCTACAAATTCCCTCCTCTTTTGCAGGACAAAGGCCTTGTCTTTTCGGAAGGGAATCTATGGAACGAGATTCCATCCAATCGTTTGTCTAATGATTTAAAGGTTATGTGACATACGCAACAGGTAGACATCTGGAAACAAAAACAAGACATCTTGTATTTGTACACACTATATAATAAATTGACGAATTTTCGAATGTATTAGGCTTTAATAATGATTTAATAACAAAAAAATTAATAAAATAAATAATTTAATAACATAAATAATTTAATAACATAAATAATTTAATAATATTAATGATTTAATAATAACACCGAAGTCTTACCTCTTAATAGCTTAATATCCAGGAACAAAAAAATTGATTTGAAAAAGTGTTCGCCGAGGTCACAGATCGTCAAGGACACAACCGGACACAAAAGCAAACACAGCAAAAGAAAGAAAGCCGTTGTCCTTCAAAACATCTTTGTCCTCCGCGGACATCGATGTCTTCGGAAATACTCGTTTATTCTCGGTCGCATTCGTGTCATTCGCATTCTCATTCTAACACTGCGACTGCGGGACCTGATTGGGGGATTCCGAGGACGGACCCGGGAGGGACGCTCCTGGGAAGAGCTCCGGTCAGCGAGGGAACAACAGTCCTTTTTAGGACATAAGAGCAAATCAACCTAGCCGAGCGAGGCCCTCGGGCCAAATAAGGATGTCGAGCGCTGCGTCACCGGGTGCCGCATTTCGAACTCCGCCGGAGGGCGAAAGCGGCAGCCGCGGCCGCGGGGCGCGTCGCCACGCGGGGTCGCAGAAGCGCTTGCGCATGGCTACCCCGTCAACAGAGAGAATTTGTAACAACCTGCGCGTTGTTTCTGCTTCTGCCCTCAGGTCGAACGATGGGAGCGGTCCCTCCGCGCCCCGACGCGCGGCGGCCGCATCGCCGCCGACGGCAGCCACCGCCGCTAGGAGCGGACCACCGTTTTCGACGTCGGACGCCGCCGCAGCAAGCAACGAAGAGGACGAAGACGGTTTTACGCTCGTCCGCCGCCAACGACGCTCACCCCCGATCCACGTGTTCGGGAGCGGAGACGTGTTCTCCCTCCTGGAGGCGCTGCGGGGTGTTTGCGGGGATCCGGTCGCTGCGGAAGCGACCGGAGAGGCCGTACGCCTTCGTACGACCACAATGGAGGATTATACGGCCTCCGTTGCCCTGCTGAGGGATCGAACGATGGAATACCATACCTATTCCATCGGTAATGCGCTGAAGCTGCGAGTGATTATCCGAGGCGTTCCGCTAGAGACCGACTCGCCAGCGTTAATCGCCGCCCATGGCGGTCTCCGCTTAATTTCCAGGCGGAGAAAGCAGAGCTGCTGACAAGCCGCAAACACGGAAGGAGAGGACGACCTATTCCGCTCATTCTCGTGACGCTGCCGGACCAGCGCAGAATCTTCGCGCTGCGAGAACTGGAAGGACTACGGATCTCGGTGGAGCGGTATCGGCCGCCGAGAGGACCCGTGCAGTGCCAGAACTGCCTTGACTTCGGTCATGGAGGACATGAATTCACAATCTCTAATTACATTTGTGCACATATATATAATCTTAAATTTCCATCTCATTA